AGTACTCCAATGAAGCTCTATTGTGACAATCAGGCAGCGGTTCATATCTCTTCCAATCCGGTGTTTCATGAAAGAACCAAGCACATCGAAGTTGACTGTCATTTTGTGAGAGAAGGTGCTGAATGGAGTGATAGAGACTGCATATGTTAATACAGGAAATCAGTGGGCAGACTTGTTTACAAAAGGTTTGAGTCAGGGGAGAGTGGACTACATATGTAACAAGCTAGAATTATATGATATATACTCACCAGCTTGAGGGGGAGTATTAGTGAAGGAGTATTTTGGTCTTTGTACCTGTTGAGAGTGCTGATGTGTACTATTATGTTAGTTCAAGTGCCCCTTAATTAAATAAGGGCACTTATGTCTTTTCTAGTCACATTAATAATATAATAACAGGTCTGGCCGAAACTAGGGTTGACTTTTTCCTATTTTCGAACCAGACCTTTTCTCTTCTCCTTCCTCTTTCTTCCTTCTTCATTCCTCTCTTCCTTCTTGCTGTTTACTTTACAGCTAACAAACAAAACAGACTTCTAGGGCAGGTCGAACTTTAACAAAATGATTGCATTGAACCAACATAGTCATATTCTTCTTACCATATTGCACTTTGCAAAGAAAGTGATAAGCTTATTCTGCATTCCACTGTGTGAACCAAATACATACAAAAAAGAAAAAAAGAAAAGAAAAAATTGCTACACTAAATACCAAGCAATCTAATAAATGCACTAACACATGTCATGATGTATTGGTAGCCCACAAAGTTAGCAACAAAGCTTAATTAGTACCATATAATTAAACAGAAGAATACATCTCCTCTTCCAACAAAATGTACAATGGAAAGAAGAGAGAAGAAACAATGACAGGAGAAACAGAAAAGACCCGAAATTAAACTAAAATGCAATACTAGTATACCAAGGAAAAGCTCAACTTAATCTTACTACAAGAAAACCTTATGTCTTAAGTAGAAAAGAAAATGATCAGCACTAAGAACCATAGTATTATTTAGTTTTTTTATCAATGGAACTTTGATTATATTAAAAACATGTGAAAAGCATTAAAAGTTTAATTTAATGACCATAACATCAGCCCTAAAACCAACACTATGTTACAAAGATCCCCAAAACAATTGCTGCCTTTCTACCCCTTGTTTAGCAAGGAAGTCAGCTACCCCATTTGCAATCCTTCTAACCCATTTGAATTCAGCATCCAGCTCTTTTGAAGTCCTTTCTATTTCCCTGAAAGCATTCTTGAGAGTCCATGGAATATGTCTATTACTTCATGCCAAGAGAACTTTTGAGTCCCCTTCCAATATTTCTGAGGCCCAATTGCTTAGCTAATCTGAGACCTTGTAGTAAAGCCAATATTTCAGAGTTATGGAGTTAGCCACACCGAGTGTCCCGGAGTAAAGGGCCACTAATTTGCCCTCTGAATTTCTAATTGCTCCACTAATACCTGCCATACCCGGATTACCCAGAGAGCATCCATCAAAGTTCAGCTTATCTTTACTACCTTGTGGGGGGTTTCCATTCCATTTTTATTCTTTGTCTCTAGAGGATTGTGCTATCTCCTTCCAAGCCCTTAGAATATCAGTCAATGTGAACTCTGAAAGCATTCCATGTTTTCAATCCAAAATGTGAACTCTGAAAGTATTCCATTGTCACAATAACCTCCTCCACAGTTTTACTTTTGCCATTAAAAATTCTGTTATTCCTTTCCTCCCAAACCACCCAAACAGTTGCAGCCTTAGTAGCTCACCATATCAACCTTCCTCTTTTCTTTAATTGCTGAAGGAAGTTAGGCCTGAAAATGTCTGCCACCTCTTGAGGAGGGAATCACCTGCAACCGGAAAGATCACAGAGAAACTCCCAGATAAGAGTAACAAAGGAACAGGAGATTAATAAGTAGGGTAGGGTTTCTCCACTTTTCCACACAACAAGCACATATGAGGAGAGAGGCAGCAAAAAGGCCTTCTTCTTTGCAGCACATCACAAGCGCTAACCTTTCCAAGAAAAGATTCCTTGCAGAAAGCTCGAACCATAGGTGGGATAGTATTATTTAGTTAAACATATGTTCAAATAAACCTAGTTCAAATTTAACCAATAAGATGAACTACACATAACTGGACATATGATCACCATAACTGTTTATCTAATATTGAATTTGCTAACAATCAACTTGGTCAAATAGCCAGAACAGATTCAGGATTTAGAGTATGCTAGAAGAGGCTAATGACATGAATAGCCAATGAATGGAAATGGTGTGAATAGAGAAGCAGGACTTAAACATTAAGCATAAACAGGAAACTTAACAATAACATAATGTAGGAACCTCAACAAACAAAAACAGTTTAAAGACAATTGCTCATTCAACAAGAATCAGAGAAACATGCCTGAAATAGTCAATTGGCAACATTCCTCATTCTGTTCACAATCAATTAAGAGCATTCTTGCAAGTCCACCCGACAGACACCATCTGCCACTGAAAAGAAGAGAAGTTCCTTGTGACAAGATGAAAGCTTGATTTTAAATATAAAACTTAAATCAATCTAACAATGCTCTTCTAATAGCAACACAAAAACAGTGGGGAAAAGCGTACAAAGTGTATTTGAGATTAATCCTTTTCCAAGGTGAAAGAAGAAAAATTTAAAAGGGAAGAATAGTATACTTATTAAAATACTTTCTACTAAGTTAGGAGAGTTGCAAGCAAAAACTATACTAAATTATTGATTGAAAACATTCCATGGATGGAAACATCAAGGGAACCAACACTTATTACAATAAATTTGGAATGCATACAAGTACATCATTGTCAAAATAACATAATTCTGTTAAAATTTGAAAAGTAAGATGAAGCAAGCAGATTATAAGTTCTTAAACATTTCTTTGATGCACCAATAAGGAATAAAAGAAGGATTTTTTTATGAATAAAATAATATGCATGTAATGTGATTTGAACCTTCACCACTTGTGTAAATAACAACTACTATTACCACCAAGCTATGACCAAGTTATTTAGGAATAAAAAAAGGATATTGTTTGACTATGAATTCACCTTGACACATTACTGTTCTCTTCAAAACTATTTATCCTCAGGGCCACATCAAGTATATTTGACTTTAGAGCCACCACAGCAACATGAGATGGAGAGCTGCAATTGCAGAATTGGGACAAAAAGTTCACCATTACACACTATAAAAAAAAAAAAAAATCTTTCTTTTATATGTACACACAGTACAGGAAGAATGGAAACCCTTCTCATTTATTTATTTTATTATTTTTTTCAAGGAACCTTACTTTCCAGTTATAGAAGAAAATCGACACAAATTTTAACATGAAATTGTCAAACATTTTTCTTATATCAAATTCATATAAGGATATGATTGTGATTAATCATTTTGTCAGAGATTTAAATAATCAGGAGCACCTCTTTACTTTTATCAATGTCCTCCTGACCATGATTAACCATAAGGCAAGGCAAATGCCAAATAAAAATAATACCTTGGCTTTGGAAGCTGTTTGTTCGGCCACATTTCCCCCAATACCACAAGTTAAGGCAAATGGCAAACAAATAAAAGACTTGGCTTTGGAAACTGTTTGTTCAACTACATTTCCCTAAATTAACTACATTATATTTATTCTTCTATGGCCAACAGTGTAAGACATGAACATGTTTGAAATGGTAGACTTGCAAAACTTAATAATTGCATAATATCAATGAAATAAGTCCATAAAAAGTTAGTATAAATGAAAAACATCTATTGAAGCAAAAAAAAAAAAAACAGAATCATTCATATAAAAAGTAAAAGAACAAATATGAAAACATTTAGAGTGCATTTGGTAAGATGCAAATGCAAATAGTTCATGAAAAAATGCAGACTTGGTTTGGTTCTGCCTTGATAAATTTTGTATTCTTAAAAAACGTATTTGGTTGTGATTCCAAGACAGGAATCTACCTTTTTTACATTGATCAACTTTGGGTGCAAAAGTTTGCTTCGAGTTTTTGAAAACAAACTTTGCTCCTATTTTGAATGAAACATGTCAGACAAAAAATTTACTGTCATTTTCTGTAATAAAAATGCTTTCTTACCAAACACCTGCAAAGCTGAACCAGTTTGCAAATTCGCTTCAGTTCAGCGTTTGCACTCTTACCAAACACAGCCTTACTGAAAAGTGAGCCAATTGGAGTATCTCTGGAACTGTAGAAACTAGAAAATCATCTAATATCATATTCATTGTAGTAGCAAATACAATCTCATTTTGGATTTAAAAGAATGCAATATACTAGCTGATGGTTATTTAAAGTAAGAAATAATCCAAGGGCTTATAACCTAACAGGAAAGCTCTTGATGGCCTATAATGGAGGGAGATGGTTCGTGTAGATGACTACAAATAATTGGGATTAAGGCCGAGTTAAGTTATACAGGCCCAGGTTCCTGAGAAGCTGATGAATAGTAACTACTAATGAGCCTTCTGTTTATAGTTGTCCATTTGGTGTTCACCTTCTGTATAGCTTAGCTTAGTGATACAACCATACAACAATACGTATTCAGAATCACAATGCATGTGCAAAGCAAACAGAAACATGAATGGCATACCACTTCAACATGTTCGCCATTATAGTAATGCTCAAGGCCATCAGTTTTGCACCACTACCATCAGGCGATAAATTTTTTACCAAAGTGCAGATAATCTCAACAACATCAACCCTACAGAAGACAATAAACAATTTATACTGAGAAAATAGAATAGTAAACTATTTGTAAAAAAGGACATGGAAGAATATCCAAAATGATCATAGGGTACAATCAATAAAACAAAATGTGAAGGCTCGATGAAAGTAAATATCAAGAAAATTTTGTAAGCCAGTAAATTACCGTAAACTCTCTTCTATATGCCCACTTGTGCGAGCTGCTTGAACTGGAGATGAATTACCAATGTCCAACAATGAAAAACATACAGCCTACAAAATTACAAACTTAAAATCAGTTCAGGGACAAAACATATTTAAAATAATAAGAATCCCAATAGCAGCCCCATCCACATAATACATAGACATGATGGTCTATTCTTAAATACAGGTCTTTCTTACTAAAGAACCGAATTGCAAAAAACAAGGCTCACTTCTATCAACACAGACCTGGTTAAGTAAACCCAATATTACTGAAGAAAACTGAAGAGAGGAGAGCTTGAGAGTTCAGCAATGAGGGTCTGAGAATGAGAGTTTCGAACCTACTCTCTCTCAGCACCCTAACATTCTTCTATTTAGATATATTTACAAGGAGGCCCTTAGGTGGGCAAGAATTTACAAAGAACTTAATATAGACAGGATGGGCCCAGAATAA